TACCTACCGCGACCTATGTTGCTTCAAAGTAACTACGGCATATGTTGTTCTACTGTGGATCATACTGTCACCTACAGGGCGCAGTGGATATCAGTAGGATGGGCTCGAATATATTCCGATGGTTCATGTTGACAGCAAGCGTAAATTAACCGGTCATTCGCTGGATTTGCCTGGCTTCATCCACTTTCTCCTCCGTTTCACCCAATCGGGAAACCCCATATTCAACTCTCACGTGACTCGGTACCTGAATTCCACCAGATATAAAGGAAAAGCATTCCGACTCATTGAGTCATTGTTGAGAAAGGCCCGTATTGTTGGTAGAAGTAAACGAGTGTCTGTCCTCAAAAAAGCCTTCGCGATGGTTCACATCAAAGAGTTCGCTGTGGAACAAGTATGACCCCTCCCCACCTGGACAACCCCGCATATTTATAACTAGATGAAAGCTAACCGTACTACTCTGTACAAGTGGATGGACAAATATGAAACCACAGCCAAATACAATGTGGCAGAAACATGCTGTGCGTCAATCTCATTTAATGATCTCCGGGAGCTATCGGAGGACAAGTCCGACCCATTGGATTTGAGCATTAAGCTCACCTACGGAGCTATTCGTGGGTCGGAAAGACTCCGGGGAAACCTGGCAAGGCTGTACTCGGATCAAACACCGTTGCCATCGGACAATGTCTTGATCACTGCTGGCGCCATCCAAGCCAATTTTCTCCTGCTCTATACTCTGGTTGGGCCCGGCGACCATGTTATCTGCCATTACCCCACATACCAGCAGCTCTACTCAGTCCCGGAATCGCTCGGGGCTGAGGTGAGTCTGTGGAAGGCGAAAGAGGCAGACAACTGGGGGCTGGATATCAATGAACTCAAGAGCCTTATCCGTCCGAATACCAAAATGATTATCCTCAAGTTAGTAAACCCCTCGAATTCCACTGACCGGCTTCTCTGATCACGATATGTCGCCGTACAGTAACCCTCAAAATCCTACCGGAGCGGTGATACCCCAGGAGACATTGAAGGATATCATTGAAATAGCTCGAAGCTCGTCCATCATTGTCCATGCCGATGAGGTTTACCGCCCGCTGTATCACTCTGTCCAGGAAGGCCAAGCCCCGCCATCGCTCCTGTCTCTAGGATACGAGCATACCGTAGTGACTGGCTCCATGTCCAAGGCATATAGCTTGGCAGGACTCCGTGTTGGATGGATTGCATCTCGCGACCGCTCAATTATTGAGGCCAGCGCCAGCGCCAGGGACTACACAACCATTTCTGTCGGCCAGCTGGATGATGCTATTGCCAGTTACGCGTTAGCCCCCGCGTGTGAGCCCAACCTCATTAAGCGGAACCTTGACTTGGCCCGCCGGAATTTGGCAATCTTGGAAAAATTCATCGAGTCACATCGGTGGGCATGTGACTGGGTTAAGCCGCGAGCAGGTACAACGGCATTTGTGCGTTTCAACAACCAAGGCCTTCCAGTGGACGATGTGGCCTTCTGTGAACAACTGCAGGCCAAGATTGGGGTGATGTTTGTCCCTGGAAGTTCATGTTTTGGGGAAGGAGAGGATTATGAGGGATATGTTCGGATTGGGTATGTGTGTGAGACGGAAGTGTTGGAACAAGCCATGGAGGCGTTGCGATCATTCATGGATGGGGAATATAGGAACGTGCCGGTGAGGAGCAACCGGACTTAGAGATCTGCTGAGTAAGTTAGAGAATGAATTCAATAGTTAGCCAAGCCAAACCTGCATGTAGCATGCATTGACCGGTAAAGATGAAATCAGGTACAACCCATGCATCAGCCCGTGCATCAACCCGAACATCAAAGTGACTTAATTAATAAGTCTGGCCATAGTTATTGCTATAAATGTAGTAGCGATGGATGGAATTAGCCCCAACGGAGGCTTATTTTCGGTTATTCCCACAATTTCCACGGACCCATTGGCCGGTTCAGCCACCAGCCAGCTTGGCGTCTCCACCTGATCAACTGGTTTCTTGTTGGACCATTGAATTACAATAGTTCCAGGTTAGTGGAGACCGTGACCAGCTTCATTTGATGCACAACCCATCATAGCGCTTGTTCCGTCCAGCCGAGGTAACTCTGTTCACCCGCTCCTCCTCCACGTAAGGACATACTTACTAGTACTTAAAGGTGAATTGATGACAAGGATCTTGTTGGCTCAGCCTCATGGCTGTCAACTAAAAGCTCCATCGATGCCAACTCGCGCTCCAACAACTTCTTTGTTCCTCTGCTAGTATTTAATACCCCGCGCGCATCCTCATTTCCGGCTCATCTGCTCGTCTCCTTACTTCCCTTCCTTTTCCCTTTCCTTCCGGTGACCACCAACGGGTAGACCATATCAGTGTGCCGCTTCTTCCGAACCATCCTACGTAATCAGACAAAATAACCCCCAAGATGTCTGCGATACCTGGTCTGTGAGCTCCCTATCATAATTCTATATGAAGTATAGCTGGTATTTCGGTACTGACTAGATGATCTACCAGATCTCCCCGTCCCTCTCCCGATCGCCGCTTCGGCGCTGGTAGCCACGCTCGCATATCTAAATGCCAAATTCTCTCTATTCCAAGACAAGCATACAATCTCGTCCATGCTCAGTATAGCTAGTAACTCCAAGTCCTCTGAGCGAACCGATCGGGTCAATTTCTTCTATGTTCTGGAGCAGCATGCCCGCGATCCGAAAACCAAGGATCGGCCGTTCATCGTCTACAATGGACAGAGCTGGACATATCACGAAACGTACGTGCTGGCGCTGCGCTATGGCACCTGGTTCAAGCAGGTTCACGGAGTCAAGTCCCGGGAAGTCGTCGCCATGGACTTTATGAACTCCTCGACGTTCGTCTTTATCTGGATGGGTCTCTGGAGTATTGGCGCTGCGCCCGCCTTTATCAATTACAATCTGACAGGGCAGCCCTTGACACATTCTGTTCGGGCCTCAAGCGCACGACTGCTACTCGTTGAGGAGGAGCTTCGCCAAAAATTCACGTCCGAACAACTGGAGTTGTTTGCTTCTCCTGACTTTCGAGACGGAGGTGATTCGGTCAATCTGGTCTTCTTCACCCCCGAAGTCGAGGCTCAGATCCTCGGAATGGAGCCTACGCGAGAAGATGACACAGCTCGGAGCGGTACTCAGCTGCGCGACATGGCCACGCTCATCTACACGAGTGGAACTACCGGCCTGCCCAAGCCTGCGATTCTTCCTTGGAGGAAGGTCTGGGCTGGTGCTGTAATGACCAGTACCTGGCTGAAGATGACCAAGGATGACCGGATGTTCACGGTACGCTTCTTTGCTACTCCTGCATTATCTCTCAACAATACTAATCTCATCATAGTGCATGCCTCTTTATCACTCATCCGCAGCCATCCTCGGTCTCATGCCGTGTTTGTGGACAGGATCGGCCTTGATCATCGGTCGCAAGTTCTCTGCTCGCAGCTTCATGCGGGAAGCCGGGGAGAATGATGCAACTATTGTGCAATACGTGGGTGAAACCATGAGATATCTCTTGGCAGTACCGCCCGCCATCAATCCCGTCACCGGGGAAAACCTAGACAAGAAGCATAAGATTCGCCTGGCTCTGGGCAACGGCCTGCGTCCAGACATTTGGAACCGGGTGAAGGAACGGTTCAACATCCCTACGATTGCCGAATTCTACGCCTCTACCGAAGGCCCAGGCGGCTTGTTCAACATCTCCTCCAACGACTTTACTGCGGGTGCAATTGGCCGTAGCGGCTTTCTCACCAGCATGATCATCGGTCGCAGTGTCGCTATTGTTGAAGTTGATCAAGAAACCCAACAACCCTGGCGCGACCCCAAGTCTGGTTTCTGCAAGAAGGTCCCGCGGGGCGATCCGGGCGAGTTGCTATATGCACTCAACCCGCAGGACCCCGGAGAGAACTTCGTCGGTTATTACAAGAACAACAAAGCCACGGACGGCAAGATACTCCGCGACGTGTTTCGCAAAGGTGACGCCTACTACCGATCCGGAGACTTGATCCGATGGGACAAAGACGGTCGGTGGTACTTCTCCGACCGTCTAGGTGACACCTTCCGATGGAAGAGCGAAAACGTGTCCACCAGCGAGGTGGCCGAGGTGCTGGGCGTGCATCCGGAAGTGCACGAAGCCAACGTCTACGGAGTGGCGTTGCCAAACCATGACGGTCGTGCTGGCTGCGCCGCCATCGTTCTTCAGCAACAGACACGCTCCGAGGATCAGACCGTGGTTCTCCCTCCATCTGAAGAGAGTCTAAACAGCCTGGCCGCGCATGTGGTGAAGAATCTTCCGCGTTTTGCTGCTCCTCAATTTATCCGAGTCACGGCTGAGATGCAGGCTACGGGAAATAACAAGCAGCAGAAGCATACTCTCCGGACACAAGGAGTGGATCCTGCGCTGGTTCCGGCGAGTGACCGGATGTACTGGCTCCAGGGGAACCAGTATGTGCCGTTTGAGGCGAAGGATTGGGACCGACTACAGGCTGGGCAGGCCAAGCTGTGAGCTGGTCCAGTTAGTGTTTTCTGGATACTAGAAAATAAGTGTCGATATCAATAGCGCTGTATCTTGTTAGTAGACGAGTATCATCTTTGTTTAAATTAATGTGCTGTATCAGTTGTTGTGAGTACTACATCATGGGTGTCATGATACATAAGAGTGTGTGAAATGTGAAACTCGAATATAGTTCTGCGCATACTAGCAGTCTATTAATATGATATAGTGAGTAATATCAAATATCCTCCGAAAAGCAGCGTTGGAAGGTGCCAAACAAAGCTCCTGAATAAATAGTCTCCAAAACAGGGACATGTTAGATAGTGTAGTAGGTCATCAGTCAATCAATCGCTGGGATGATTCCATTGGCGCTATATGATAGATAACCCTTACAGTGTGTCTCGATCCCGAGGACGAGGAAATAAAATGGAAACAGACAAATTCGATCATTCTAAGTCATTAAGATAATACATCAGTAGATAGTTGGTCAACATAATTCAAATACCGCTTTCTTCCACTTGATCCTTGTACGATTTCAAGAGCTTCGCGGCCGCCATATGCCCATTTTTTTCAGCCAATTTCACGGCACGCCGATATTGCCGTTCACCATCTTTGCCTACCAGCGATGCTCCTTCGTCAAGAAGTAGCCGAAGCATGTCAATTCGACCGTGCTCTGCCGCTCCCTCCAAAGCTGTTCTACCATTGAATTGTGCAGGAGCAGCATTTTCGTCTGCGTCTAGGTCGATGAGCTTGCGAGCAATTCCCAGGTAGCCTTGAATGGCAGCAATCTGCAACGCGGTGGCTCCGCCATCCTCTGATGGTGCACTGTTGACATTGGCTCCGTGGTCAAGAAGGAAGTTGATCAGGTCCATGTTTCCGTTGTTGACCGCATGTTGTAGCGCCGTGCGTCGACCCGTGCCCTCCCCTAGGTAGTTAATATTGGTTTGCGGGTTTTTGACTAACCGTTGAACTATGGACACCAGCTGGTTCTTGACCGCAGCCTGTAGAGGAGTGAGAATCTCACACCATTCTAGTATTTCGTCATCATTCTCATTCAGCGCGCCGGATAAGTAAAGCTTAATCTCTTGATTCATGTCCACCACCTGCTCCAGGATATCATCAATTAGCCCAGTGCGTTGCCAGATAACGGCCATTGTCAATGCACGGCCGATAATCTGATTGTCCCAGACCCAAGATTGGAGAAGAGTCTGAAGAGTTGATCTGTCATCCAGTTGTGCCGCTAATTCGAGGACTGATTGCGGGTCCTCGGGCGTGAAATCCACTCCTTCGTACCATCCCTGGCGGTATTGTTGCGGTATCCCTGTTGGTTCGATACCTACATCGAGTAAGAATTCCATAGCTTCTTTTTTGCCCGTTGCAATCGCCAATCCGATCGCGGTGGGAGCTCTCCCAAGGAAACCGGTCAGAAGGTGACCCAGCAGATCAATGGCACCAAGGTACACCGCTGCAGCAAGGTCACAGTCGGTCACTTTGGCGCCACGTGCCATGATGATCTCCACGAAGGAAAGGGATTTTGCTTGGATTGCGGCTTGCAACGGCGTTTCTGGACATCCAAAAAGATCAAGCATAGTGGGATGTCCGTCGACATTAATCCGATAAGCAAGTAGCCACTGCGCCAATTCAAGCTTTTCAATGTAAATTGTACGGGCCAAAATTTTTCCTCCACATACTTCGAGGATGTCTTTCAGTATACCCCTTTCTTGTAGATACATTGCGAGTTCCACGTTTCCGATTCCTCGGAGCTTTGGCCCAATTAATGTAGCCCCGGCGAACTCCAACATGCGAATAAGCGTTGGATCTCCCTTTTCAATGGCTGCCGCAAGCACTGTTCCGGGCGCATCACTGTAGACTTCATTCAACGGTGCACCTGCTTGGACTAGCATATCAACAACGCCGCTATGACCGTTCTGGATGGCAAGGAGGAGAGCTGAAGAATTCTGCTGTTTATCTGAATAGTGCATGTGTGTCTGAGCGCCACACTGTATCAGGAATCTGCTCATCTCCACGTCTTTTCTCTTGATAGCACGCTCAATGAGTGATAGGCCCCAGCCCTCAGGTGCAGGTTGAATGTCAACACCTGCTTGGAGTCACAATCGGGCTATTTTTATATCACCAACCTCAATAGCCAGGGTAAGAGGTGAAACATAAGGCAGCCCATCTAGTCTGGGATCGACGTAGACACAAGACTGGAGCATTGTCTGAATAACCTGCAGATTCTTTCTTCGGACTGCAAGCCCTAGGACTGTGGTCACACCAAAGTCTTGGTCAAAATCAATACTCAACAGTGCATTTATATCTGCCCCTCTAGAAAGAAGGAGGTTGACCGTCGTAAGATTGTCACACGCCACTGCCCGCGCCAAGGGACTAGGATCCTGCCATCCGCATCGTGCATCCACGTCGGTAACTCGATCTAGTATCTCGCTAAAGAGGCTCAAATCGGCCATTTCTGCGGCAGTTGCGAGACAGGATGGAGTGGCAATTGCATTATGGGACAGTAATAGTCTGGTTGTCTCAGAATTCTTGCATTGGAGTGCATAATAAAGCGGAGGACAGTCGTTGTAAGATAGGTTGATATTGGCCCTGTGAGACAGAAAGAGTTCGACGGCCTCAATGCCACGATCACCACTTTCCATCTGAGCAGCAAATTGTAAGCATGTAAGAGGCCCATCGTGAGATGTGTCGACCCGACTATCCGGGTCCATTCCAGCCTCCAACATCATTTTCACAGTGTCCAGATCCAAGTGTCGCAGTGCACTGGCGAATAGTCTCTCTGCTATGGCCTCTGCGGTGGGCTCCCGAGTTGATAACAAGATCTCAATGTGCTTCTTATTCTTCCAGCCAGACGCATGGAACAATTTCATCACATTCCGGTCACGGCCAGCCATAGTTCTTTTGGATTTGCCAGTTGGACCGTGGGAGATGAAGTTGTTAGACAACAAGAATAGTTCCAAGTTAAGACTCTCTGTTGTCGTTCGTGGGGTGTTGCATAACCTTGTGGCGTGGGTACGATGCTGGCCATTGAACTCTTCTGGCATCAGAATACTAAGTCCAGTCACTATACGGGAAAGGCTATTGATATTGGGTGGGTGGGACAGCGTCTTCCAAGGATATCGAGCCTAGTCGTTGCATCAAGTCTCGGTTGATGTTGTTTGTCAAAGCACCAGGGGATTGTGGCGATGTCACAGGGAGGGCGGACGGTAGCGACGACAGATCTATACAACCGTTCAGGTCAGCTTTGCAGAAGAGGGGAGGATAGTCCCATGAACATACTATCGTCTCGTCGAGGCTCGAGCAGCTTGGCAAATTGCAACCATGGAAGAGAGTGATTCCAAATGAGCCGCATACTTGGCGTTGCAGGAGTACAGATAACAATTCCTTCTGGAGTGCTGGGAGAAGGAGCTAAGACTGTATTAGCTGCCTGGGATTCATGTGAGCAGGATGATATGGGGACACGCTGAACAGACCGTTTGGAAGGTTATCCACCGTCGAAACAAAGGTTCTGTTGTATCGAGACTTTTTCAGCTTGCTGGGGGGAAATTTAACCCCGTCGACATACACTTCGCTCTCTTTCTGGTGTTCCCTCTTTCTCTTGTCGATTCGCCGCCCGATGAACTTGCCCTCCGCTGGGGTCAGAGAAAGATTTTCTCGCAGGCCCCATCTCTTGAAGTACTTTCCGTACTGTGACTTCCTATTTTGATATGAGATTCTCTGTGTCTGTAGGTGCGGCAGGGTAAGAATGCACTGACCTTTCATCGAACCCGTACTTAGTTCGCATATACTCCATGACTTCGTTTAATTTCTGGCCTTCATGGATATAGAGACGCTCCAGTTTGGGCCGGTAGGACTCCCAGATGGTGTCAGCCATGCTTGGATGTTGTGGTCTTGTGCCTGAGTGGTAGAAGGAAAAGCGTTCTTTCCGGTGGGAGTCAGCCTGGTACTTATTATAGGGGAATAAATGGGGTTATTATGGGGGATGATGAGGTCAACAAAAAGGGACCAAGACACGAAGACCCGCTAGAGCAGTAAGCCTGACGAATCAAGGCGTGGGCGGGGAGGTACCATACCCTGCCAGTCTCCTTCCATCTATTGGCGGTTCCAGAATCTCGATGCACCTTCTTTAGCCCTGCCAGGGGGCTGCACGAATAGAATCGACGTCAGCGGAGCGCTGCGCCATGTTTGGCGTTTTGCGGTGGGGTTTTCACCCAGTGACTGGTCTGGTTCCGTCCAAAATCTTGGGCTGATAGACCGTGGGCCGTCACTAAGATCCCGGATGATAACTTCAAGATTCGTCGCTCCATCTATACAAAAACACAGCACGAAGGCCCCTTTCTAGGATATAAAAGGGCACCTTTTCTAATGACCTCTGCCCAATTCCAAATCATCAAAGCACTCATTGAGACCTGAATCATCTCTTTCACCATTACCATTACCCATCCGAATTCATCATGGAGTGGTCGACCAGTTCTTTCCCAGGGCCCCAAGAGGATACCACTAGTACTACTGCTGGTACTCATCCAGACCGCCTCCCCATCGGTCAATTCCTCTTTCCCCAGTCATCAGCCGCTCCAGTGCCCCAGCCAGCAGACTACTCTATGTTTGCAAATCACCCCTATGGGGCCTTTACCTCGATTGCTGGTCCTCCCTGTAGTATTGAACCTCATGTATGGACAGTCAATCCGACGGGGGGTCTTTCAAGTGAAAGAAACATCCCACCACAAGGCGGTGTGGCGCAGACTGCCCAAGCGCCTTTTGCCTATGATGAAATCCCTGCCGAGTCACTTGATTTGTTGTATGCTTCCACTCGTATTACTAGTGGTCAGCCCCTGCCACTACCAGGAGACTGGAAGGATACCAATGCAGATACGAACCCAGCCTGGCATGCCCCCAATAGCGCCATGAGCCACCAGCTACACCCAGCTCCGGGAAGGTATGCGGCCCGCTTCATCTACCATCAACATGGCACATTTAACGATATAATCTTTTTGCAGTAGAATCCCTCGTGCCCCATCTAGGGCTCGTAGCCCGCCAACATTCGAATGCAAATGGGAAGGCTGTTCCAGCTCCACACGTTTCAGCACTGAAGGGGACCTTGTCCGCCATCTTAAATCAATCCATATCTCCCCCGATGCGTATTCCTGTTTAGTTTGTGGCCAATCTTTTGGTAGGAAGGATCACCTCCGCTACCACCGGAGACGCCGTCATTGTTGCTTGGTCTGAGACTCTCTGTACATTATTCGTGTTTCATGTTGGTATTTCCTGTATTGTTCTTCTCTTCACTTATTGCTTCTTCTTCTTTGATTTTTACTCCGTACTATCTATATATATACCTTTTCGGGACCTTATTAGCTGCTTTCTCATTTCATGTTTTCCTTACTATCTGATATATATCCATTTTGAAGAGAACAATATAATGAAAAAGAATTCGATTTTGTATCATCGGCGCAATCTTGATGAACAGTATCCAAGGGACTTATAGGTCTTTCATATATACTATTTAGTATTCAACAAATTTACCGTACCAAGTATTATGGAGAAAAACGAAGAAACAAAAAGTGGGGTACCCATGTCAACATACCCGTTCGGCGAGCATTCAGCGTGACACTAGGCAACTGTATTGGCAGTCCAAACTTGGCAAAAATCATCGGACAGCCACGTTGGACACCTATCAAGTGGTCTAGGTAGTAAAATTTACGGAAAATCTTGGAATTATCCCTACGCAACCCCTTCGCGATGTATCTAATACATGATTATATCAGCGGCATAGTGTGGATTTTTGACTAATCACTACCGTAGGTCATTGATTCCCCTCTTTCTTAACTGTTGTCGCCACCGAGGTAAACTAAATACTGCTTATCTTCGGATCCCGATCCATAGCTTTCGGGCATCACTGGCCTATATTTTCTTCCAATACTTTGTCGTGTGGACCTTTTGAGAGAATGTCCCATGCATGACCGGGTGTAGCAGAACTCTTTCCTAACGAAATTTCTATTCTATTCATTCAGTACCAAATTGCACCTTAAGCATCTTTGAGATCTGCCGAGGCCTGTGCTACCATACCATAATTTCCATAATAAAGTTCGGTGTCATCTCTCGCAGACCGAGAGAATGCGGCGGCTAAATGGCGGAGCCATAAAGGCTACTCGGAACATAGCCTCTCGATCCCGGTCTCGGAAACCCCCAGCGACCCGAGGTACAAAACCCCAGCACTTCCGAGACAACGCCCTGTCAAGCTCCCCTCTCACTTTCACCACGATCAATCAATCAATCCAAATCATCATACACTCCCAATCACAATAAAACCTAACCACGATGTCCTTCCCCTTCCTAGCCCGCTATTCCACACGACCCCTCCTCCGCCCGCAATCCCTCCCTCCGCAACTCACCCGCACATTCTCCAACCGCCCAGCCCTCCGCACCTCCGCATCCGCATCCACCATCGCAACATCCTTCCTCACGCGCTTCCAATCCCTTGGCCCACAAACCCGCACTCAAACCCTCGACGCAAACCAACTCCAACTCCTATCCCTAACACTCAACCGACCCTCTCTATTCCCCAACTCTCCATCCCTATCCAACACCCCGACCTCCCTTCCCACCGGCACGCCCTTACCCGCCGGCTACCACCTCGTGTACTTCACCCCCGCATTCCTGGAAAATGAGCTCGGCGCGGACGGCACAGACACCTCGTATAACCCTGCGTCGCCGTTCACGCGCCGCATGTGGGCTGGCGGGGAGGTGCATTGGCCGAGGGGGAGAGATGGGAAGCCGAATTACCTGAGGGTGGGGCAGGAGGTGCAGGAGTCGACGAGGGTGCTGAGTGCGGAGCCGAAGGTTGTGAGGAAGACCGGGGAGGAGATGATTGTTGTAGGGGTCGAGAAGGAGTTTCGGAATGAGGATGGGGTGGCGGTTCTGGATAGGAGGTGAGTGGAAATTGTCTTTGTGAGGTTGGAGATGGTGCTGATAAGGATGTATACAGGAACTGGGTCTTCCGCAAAGCTCTTACCTCGCCATCGCCTACGTCCTCATCTACGCCTCCAGCGACGAAGGTGTTCAACGGCCCGGCTAGTTCGTCTACGGAGACGAGTGACAATGTGCATACGCGCACGCTGCGCCAAACGGCAGTGACATTGTTCCGATTCTCCGCGTTGACGTTCAACCCGCACAAGATCCACTATTCGACGCCGTGGGCGAGAGATGTCGAGGGTCATAAGGATATTGTTGTGCATGGGCCGTTGAACCTCATTTCGATTCTGGATTTGTGGCGCGATACGAGGAACAATGAAGGTGGCGAGTTGGTTCTTCCGGAGAAGATCTCGTATAGGGCGACAAGTCCGCTGTATGCGGAGGAGGAGTATCGGATTGTGTTGGAGGATGGAGGGGATGGAGTTGGGAGGGTGCAGATTGTTGCGCCGGGGGAGGTGGTGGCTATGAAGGCGGAGATTCAGTAGATATAGTAGAGTTGTCGTAGTTATGTAGATATTCTGTCTGTTTGACCGGGGACAGGGGTATACTGTGATTACTATAGCCATGTGCAGATGATGTTACATGAGGATACCAGTGACATACCCTAGAATAAAAATATAGCAATCATCTACTGTATAATACTACTGCTGTCTTCGGTAAATACCGATGTAGCAATTTACTATAACTTGTCTGCTCCACTCCACCTCAAAGTAGGGTTCGGGCTTAGCTCCGGAGATAACGACTCCACCCCCATCCTTATCGCCATCGCGGCAGCCTCCATTCCACTTCAATTACGCTCGAACTCAACTTCACATTCACTAACTATTAACCACAACTACCCCACGCTCCACATATCCCCCCTTATACTTGGTACATAGTAGACCGACTACATACTCTATTAATCGACATATACGGGAATCAAACGGTTATGGAAAAGAAACGCACCCGCGTGCAACTCTCATGCACAGCCTGCCGAGCCCGCAAGTAAGCAAGCGGCAACCCCTCCAATCCCACATTCCTCCCTCTACCTTCAACCATCAACACTTATTACTCTATGATATAACGCATACCAATAATAATAATTCATGCAATAGGTTAAAGTGCTGCCGCACGCACCCCTGCACAAACTGCCTGAAGCGCAACGAAGGCGGCACTTGCACCTTCATCGGGCGCGGCCCCCGCGGCAAGACCTCGAGTAATGGACGGACCAGCCCGACGCAAGTACAGGATCGGTTGCAGCACCTGGAGAATCTGATTCTGTCGTTTACGCAGCAGCAGCAGCAGCAGGAGAGGTCGAATAGTGTGGGTGAACACCAACAGGTGATTAAAAATGGTGGTCAGACTACGCCGGCATTGTCGGTGCCACCGTCATTGGCATTTGGGGAGGTACAGCAAGAGCAGGACGGAGACTCGGAAACTCCGCCTCCTGATCCCGGGAGGTTGGTGGTTAGGGAGACGGGCATGAGGTATATTGATGGGGCGCATTGGAGTGCGATTCTTGAGGAAGTAAGGCCGTCCTTTCAGATTGTGGGGTGAGTTGGGTGAGGCTGATGTCATGCAGATTAGTGGAGTCAAGGAGTATCTAAGGGAGAATGAGGAGTTGGGGTTGTCTGATGAGGAAGGGGAAGACGAGGAGATGGTAAGGCCGTCGAATGCGCCAACGCTATTACTTGGGCTGCATCAGGAAATGACCATGGACGAGCTGTTGGACGGGTTGCCGGCTCGGCCGGTCGTGGATCGCGTCGTGGCTATGTTTGTCGGCCTTAATGAGCCGACGACAGGTAGGCGTCGCTATTGTACCGGTCCTTAATAGGTGATGCTGATGGGATTAGTGATGGTGCACTTTCCTACTTTCCAGAAACAGGTATGCTGACCCAATTGAGTGGGAGATGTAAAGGATGCTTGCTGACGTGCGCAGTATAATCAATTCTGGCAGAGACCAAAGGAGGTTCCCATTTCTTGGCTGGCACTGCTGTATGCGGTTCTCACAATAACAATGTCCGTGTATATGCGCACCGGGGAGCCGCTACCGGCAGAACTTGGGGAAGCGGATGAAGCCGTTCAGCGCCTCAGGCAATTGACCGCGCAGTGTCTAGTTCAGTCAAACTACACCGTCCCGGGGCGTTTCAAAGTGGAGGCTCTGTTCTTCTACACAATGTGCGAATTCTTTCGCAGCGAAGATGCCCAAGTCGGAGTATCTTTCCTGCTGAACATGGCAATTCGGCTTGCTATGCGGTCAGGGTACCACCGGGATCCGCAACACTTTCCAAATATCTCACCATACGAAGGCGAGATGAGGCGTCGGGTCTGGGCTATCATGCGTCAACTGGATGTTTTGATCTCGTTTCAGGTTGGGGTCCCGCGGGGTATACAGGACTGGCAGCAGGACGTGGAGCTACCGCGTAACATCTCTGATGAGGAATTCGGGGAGTCTACCGTCGAACTGCCGCCATCCCGACCCGAGACCCAACTCAGTACAACTGCATATATCCGCGGAAAGTCACGAGTTATGGCCGTATTTGGGAAGATCTCGGATTTAGCGTACTCGCGCGATCCTATGACATATGATGAAATACTGGCCTTGGACCGACAACTGGAGGAAGCTCGGGACCTTGTGCCCACTGCATTCAAGATACGCCCTCTTGACCAGTGCTTCGTGGATCCATCATACCTGATTCTGAGACGATACACACTGGAAATCTTGTACCAGAAGGCCCGCTGTGTGCTGCACCGGCGCTACCTGGGCGAGGTACATACCAATCCCCGCTATGCCTACTCGCATCGGGTTTGCATGAGCGCTTCCAAGGACATCCTTCGTCATCAGGCGGACATCTACCACGAGACTCAGCCGGGTGGACTTCTTTACCGCGACCGACAATTCCCGAACTCACTTCAGACCGCAGATTATTTGCTTGCCGCGATGATCATCTGTCTGGAGCTGTCGCAGAACCCTACCGGCACACCGACAAGAAGCACGGACGAGGACGTAGCGGCAGTTACCCGGAGCCGGGAGGAACTGCTAGCGACCATTAAAACGTCACATCGGATCTTTGAGCAGCAGCGTAGACGGTCGGTAGATGCACAGAAGGCATATGTGGCACTGACAATCATGCTGCGGCGAATTAATTTCCAGCAACAGGAAAGCCAACAATTGACTTCCGGTAAGTGGCACGGGATAATCCGAGATACATCGCCAATGAGTGCAGCACAACCACCACCATATGGAAGCTGGAACGGGCAGCCATACTCAGTTGGAGTGGATCCAATGGGAATTACCCCAGAGTATCAGTCACTCGATGTGATCGGAGAGATGCTCGATGCGCCAACCAATCTCGACTGGGTAAGTGAGCCGCTGCATCTAATTTTGAAACT